CAATGTCATAGTCCTGGACAGAACTGATAGAATGCAACCACCTCTATGATGAGATTTTAATTAGCAAGCAGTCAATAAGTTTAAAAAGAGTTTCATGGGGGGATATGGGCTGCATCCAACAGATTAGATTAGATTAGCGAGAGACCTCCCTCCAGGTTTTTTGGACTTGAATCAGCCTCCTACCATATTGCCTGCAGATCTTGGATGTGTGAGCCTGCTCTCTGACTTGCTGATCTTGGTTTCATCAGTCCCTGCAGCTACAGTAGTCAGAAGAAGCCTCTAGCCTGACATCTGACCCTCAGACTTGGGACTTTCAGTGTCTACAAGCACATGAATCATTTCCTTGAGATCATTTTCTCTTGTCTCTCTTTCTACATTTAAAGAAAGAGATTCAAGTGTAAAGGGGACAACTTTCACTTCTTTACACATTTTGTGCCATAGAAACAATGCTCTAGATAATCTTCTATAATTTTTTTTTAATGTAATTTGGGTAAAAATTTACTGAGCAAATTTTCCCACTCAACAATGCACATATACTTTGTGACATTGGTTGCAATCCCCTCCATCCCATTTCCATTTGTCCTTTCTTGCCTTTTGAGCTTTATTTTGGACAAATTATGAACTTTTAGTCACGTATTAGTCTCAGGAACTAGATGGTTCCTGGAAACCTCTACTGACCACTATAAAAGGGATCACAGCAGAAAGTGCTGGATGAAATGGGAAAGCAATGTGAGACAAAACTCAAAGTCATGAAAAAGACTAGACTTACTGGTTTGAGCAAGACTAGTGGAACCCCTAAGACTATAGTTCTTGGTGGTCGTGGTGGTGTTAGGTGCTGTCAGGTAAAGGATGCTTCATAGTGATTCTTATGCACAGCCAATCCGAATCTTGTCCTAGCCTGTGCCAGACTCATCACCTTGACACATTAGAGCCCACAGCTGAAGTCATTGTGTTAATTCCATCTTGTTGGAGGAGGTCTTCACTGACCCTGCTTAAGACCTAGAATTGCCCTTATCCCTGTAAGTGCAACTTTGAGCCAAAGTTGAGGCTTTATTTCACGGTCAATGTCATGAAATGAAATCTGCTTGCTCTGTCAACTTTCACCTAAATCACAATAAAAAATAAAAATATTACCTACGTGAGGATCCACAGTTTGGTCCTGCTGTAGCAAACCCCTCTTCTTCTATCTCCCATAAAGCCAGGGTTCCTGCTCAGAAGCTGGGAGCAAGCATGCCATAAAAGGTCTGTAGAGAATGAGTTTGCTTGGGACAGCCTGGAAAGGGGGCCCTTGACCTCTCACTAGGTCATGCGCTTGTGTGGTCTGCTCAGGGCCTCTCTCCAAGTGTGGCAGTGTTGTCAGGTGAGGTTCACACCTAGGAGAAATGGCTCTTGGCCCTGCCCCTCTCCCAAGGGGTCCTTTTCCTCTCCAGACAGAGCTGGACACCCACCTTTCTGGCAGGGCCTCAGGGGGCACAGGTGAATGAGTTGCAGAGGGATGTTAGTAACCCCATGAGCAGTATCCTTGGCTTGACCACTTGGGCACCTAGGCACCCAGAGGAGGGCAGCTGTGGTGTCACCCATCCCAAGAGCCCCAGTTCTCCTCTCTGGGGCAGAAATCACACTCAGCACGGCTGCAGCTCCTCCTCTGGCATCTCCATGGCAACATTCACGCGGATCTGACAGAACATAAGGTGTTTGAGCAGGAAGGGACCTTGGCGACCAGCTCCTCCGCCCCCTCGCTTCACAGAATGGGGAGGCAGGTCCCTAGAGGGACGAGCACAAGTGTGGGGGTCACAGAACAAAACAGAAATCCTGACAGGGCATCACCCCCAGCAAAACCCCTGTCTGAAGTCTATAGGAGGACTTCTGGGGAAGGGCTGTTGTGCCCAAGCTTTGGGGGCAGATTCACTCCCTCCTTGTTACAGGATCCCAGGGGGCCAGCCTGGCTTTCTCCACATCAGCCACAGACTGGTGCCTCCATGCTGAGTTCAGTGCTGATCTGAGGAGCAAAACGTGAGGACAGGATCCCCACCACAGGAAGCTCCCAGGAACCATGGCAGTCCAGTAAGGCCACTTGAGGTCCATACAGAGTCAATGTGAGTAAGAAATAGTAGCAGATGAAATAAAAAAAGGTTGCCTGGAGGAAGAGGCTCTGAAAGCTGAGGACTCTCATTCTGGCCAGAAGCCCTCTCCAGGCACCAGATATGGGTGGGGAGGAGAGTGGGATGAAGCTGGATGGCTAGGGAAATGGGGGCCAGAACAAGACAGAACTGGTGCCTTAGGTCCAGAGGGTCCTCGTGGCTACAGACTCAAGAGTCTGGCTGTGGAGGTTAAACAGCCAGGAGGACAAGTCAGACAGCACGGTGTAGGAGAGAGGTCTTATGACCTGGGCCATCAGAGGGAGAGGGAGGGTGAAGATCCAGGAGAAAATCTCAGGGAGATAGGAGAAGGTCGAGGATCATTCTGTCCCTTGCTAAGATATGGACACATGTCAGTCTTCCCTGATCCAGCAGACTCAACCCTGGGACAGAGGGACAGAGGCTGCAGGCATCTCCTCTAAAGGGTACTGGTTCTCATGGCCTACCTCCTCTCATGCCCAGGTTCGCCCTGACTTTGGATTCTGCCTGCCTGCAGGGAACTGCTCTCCTCTCCACATATTCCCTCCCTCTGCTTGATAAACTTCTCTGCCCCCCCTCTGATTGAACTCCTCCTACTCAGCCTTTAAGACCCAAGACAAATGCCACCGCCTCGCTCTCATGCCCTGCTCACACCACCCCTACACCCAGTGCAGGTCTGAGAGCATTATTCAACCTAAAATCCTCAGCAGCAGTGAGGAAGAAGCGGGGCTTGTGTTTCCAATGCACGTTTCTGTTGTCAATTTAATAAATGCTTATTGGAGTTCGGGGATATATATGGCAGTGACCAAGTTGGTTCCAGTACCCAGAGGGTGGGGACAGATGGCAAATAGAAGAAACAAGAAACACAATGATCAGAGATTGAGGGGATGACTGGAAAGCAAGAGAAAAAGTGCTGGAAAGAAGTGGCCCAGATGTCACAGGCATAAGAAACCAGAGGAAGAGAGACAGAGAAATTAGAGTCGTACCTTGAAGTAAAAATCAATCCCCACTACCTCCAACCAATTCCAACTCCCAGTGACCCTGCAGGGCAGAGTAGAGCTACCCTAGAAGCTTTCCAAAGCTGTAAACCTTCATAGGAGACTTCCTTGTCCTTCTCTCCAGGGGCATTCATACAGCACTTCATCCACTGTTCTACCAGCCCCCCTTTTAGCTTGACATCCACACCCCTGAGTGGAAATGCACCCTCTCCCCCTCTCACTTCCTGGTTAGACACATCAGATGCACTGCCAGCAGTCTCCAGAATCCTCAGGGACCCCAGAATATTCTAGGGTTCCCATGCCAACTGGCAATTCAGGCAGCAGATGGCAAGAGGAAAGGAGCATACACTTCTTGGGACAACAAAGCCAGTAGGCATCAGCTGTTGAGGCCCCTGAGACCTTGAGGTTAGCCTTATGGGGTGGGACAGCTGATGTCTCCAGGGCCAGTGGCGAGGGTACCAGTACCCCCCCCCAACAAAGTCTCCCATACACACATCTAGAGAGTTGCCTGAAAGGCGATAGAAGGGCAGGGCAGAGAAGGCTTGCAGGACCCTGACAGGAAACTGAGGGCTGGCTCACCAGGGAGCACCCAGTGCTCCATTTTGTCAGGGAACAGTTTACATTATCAGGAGGAGTCAGAGGAGACTGGCACAAATCCTGATGACCTTGGACAGCTCCCATAGCCTCTCTGAGCCTCAGTTTCCCATCTGTCCAATGGGAACAATAGCATGTTGTGTGCCTGGTCCCAGTAGTCTCTACACAGCCATGGGCAGCCCTTTCTGGGAAATCATCCAGGTGAGCATGTTCCTCCACCTGTGCTGTTTCGGCCTCTGGGTCTCAGAGGCAGTTAGTATAATCACATGGCTAACAAGAGACCTGAGCTCTCTGAAGGGCCCAGAGTTTGATGACAGCTGTTATGTACTGGGGACAGCCAGCTAGCCATCTAGCTCCAGGGTAGTCATGTGTGAAGCCCCTTCCAGAACCCCCAGGATGAGGACATGGAAGCTCCCTGCTAAGTGGCCACTTTTGGAAAGCATCTTGAGTGGAAGAGTCCTGAGTCTGCCCCAAAGACCAGGCAGGGGGTGTCAGCCCTGGAGAAGGTCTGTTTTGGAGAGTCAGTACTTGGAATAGCTTATCTGGGAAGGAGAGGGGTTACCCACAGCCCAAGAGAGGGGACTCTGGCCTCCTTTGGTCCTGATTCCCCCAAAGCTCAGCTGTGACCCCGTTTTCCCTTTCCCTAGAGGCTGTGGGGGAGAGGACGCAGCCAGCTCATGGTCCCTCCACACCTGAGAACCAGCTGCAAGCTGATACCCAGGCGCAGCGCACCGGGTGTGTTTGCCAAGTGTTGGACGAGCCCTGATCGCCTGCCTTGGAGGTGGGGACAGTCCAGGTGCCTCTCGGACTGCTGAAGCGACAAGACTGTAGGGTATCCGGGCCCACTGACCCAGCACCTCCACTTCACCTAAGGGGCAATCCCACTGGGGCCCCTGAGCAGGGGTGACACACGCCACATTCAGGGAGCTGTCGGGTCCTAGAGTGCTCGCCTCATCCAAGCCACTGCCTCAGCACCCTGGCCAGGACCGGAGACAGCCACCGAAGGGTTGCGGGGCTTGAAGTGCTGGACAGGGTCACGTGGCCACTGTGCACCCGGCAGTGCCCAGCCTCGCCCCCACCCCCATAGTCTAATTTGCATGTCCCCGCCCCGCGCAAGGCCATTGGCGGTGGCGGCGGGAGGCCGGGCCTGAGTGGCTGCGCTGCCTGTCGGGCGCGGGCCGGGGCGGGGCCGGGGCGCGCGGGCCGGGGTTGGCTCCGGGCGGGCTCCGTGGTGCCGGTGGCTGGACGGCCCGCAGGCGGCGGCCGCAGAGAGAGCACCGAGCGCGCTGACATGTCCCGGAAAAAGACTTCCAGGAGCAAGGGGGCCAGTGCGCCCGCCGCCAACGGGCCCCGGTCGGCGCGTCCTGGCCCCCAGACGCCACCCAGCGGGCCCCCGCAGCCTGGCCGGCCCTCGCTGGGTGGCTGCGGCGACTTCTACGACGTCGCCTTCAAGGTGAGCGGGGCTCTCCAACGGGACCAGAGCAGCAGGTGGCAAGCTAAGGGGCTGTGCGGACGCGGGGAGCCGGGCTGCCGGAGCTGCACCCTGCAACTGGCCCCAGGTGGCCAGGCGCCCCGCACACACAGGCGTCCCGGAGTCGCGCCCCACAGCTGGCAGGGCCTGCTGTCCCTCAGCTGGTAGAGCCAGAACTGGGGACCTGCGGGGAACAGGAACAGCAGGTCCCTGCCCCCACTCGGAGCCCCAGACGCCCAAGTTTCCATATGCTCCCCCCGGGGTGGGTGGCTTTGCCCGCTGGGTTTTTCATTCAGGTCTCCCGCAGGCCCGGGGCAGGAGCTGTATGAATTCTAAGGAAGGGGAGGCAGAGGCATCTTTGGAGTTTGGAACCTATGGCTGCAGGCTGGGGATGGGGTGGGGATAGAAGTGCCTGGCTGACCCTCCCTGGCCTCTTGGTGGGGTCACCTCAGGCTGCCTTGCCCACTAACCTGCTAGGTCTCTGGATCAGTTAGCAAGTGTCCCAGGAGGTTGACTGGATGTGGACACCCCAGGCAGGATAGAGACCCCAGACCTCTCAGAAGTCTCCACTGTCACCCTTTGCCTCTGCTCACCACTAGGTCCCAAGTTCCTGGGGCACTCTAGCTTCCCCCAGATGAAGATGTTGTTGTGGGGCCTTGAGGGAGGCAGCTGTCCCATCCTCCAGTGACTGGGAAGGAAAAAGGACCCAAGTCTTAAGAGATGGAAGTTGGGGAGTCATTCTTGGGGGGCTGTAAGGTGCCCTGGCTCTGTGGAAACTGGCTGCCTGACTCCTTCCTCCACCCTGGCCAGGCCAGCTCAGGACAGTCTCCTGTGGTAGGTCAGGGGCTGCTCCTGCACCTGCTGACACCCCACCCCTTGGTTCCAGGTGATGCTGGTGGGAGACTCCGGGGTGGGGAAGACCTGTTTGCTGGTGCGATTCAAAGATGGGGCATTCCTGGCAGGAACCTTCATCTCTACTGTGGGCATTGACTTCCGGGTGAGTGCTGACCTTACCCTCTCCCTCCTCTCCCTTCCTCCCTCCCCTGGTATCAGGCTCTCAGGTGAGGTCAGTGCTTGGAAGCTGAGGTGGTCTTGCTTGGGGCCCTCTGCTCTGCCTCTGGGGGTGGCATCTGGCAGTCAGAGAGAAGCTGGAACTACAGGAGGTGCCCAGATCCCACCAGCACCTTCCTCCGGAGCTGGGGAGGGGTGTTACCTAGAGACTTGGGAACTTTGCTGTTCTTGGGGAGTAGAGTCAGGTTCTCACATAATTGTTCCCTGCACCCCTCCCCTCTGCCAGCCTGCAGGCTGCCACCTGGATTCTTCTGGGACTACCCCTGGACTCCTGGCCCCTAGATCCACCCCATGTGCCCTCAGCAGCCTGAGCGGTCACCAGGAAAGGATGGGGCAGGCCTCAGGCCCTTGGTGCTGATGACACAGCCCTTGCCCACCCCATCTGAAGCCCAGTGTGTTCTTGGCAAAGTTGGGATTTGCACTTTTCTTACTCTTTATTTAGACTCAGTGAGGCAGGCAGAGTGTGGCTCCCTCTGGGGCAGTCTAGGGATAGGGTCTTTCAGTCCTCCCCCCAAGGCACTGTCCTCAGTGAGGGGCCAAAGGAAATGCTTTAGGCCAGGTGGGGCTTTGGGGACTGCTTGTCTGTGTGATGCCCCCCCCATGCCTCCTGGCTCTGGGTCAGGTGGTGAGGGAAGTGAGACCACTGGTTCACACCTCTGCCCCAGGTGCCAGGGGAGGCGGGTGGCAGATGGTTGTGCTCCACTCCCTGACAGCAGGAGCTGGGGGAGGGAGAGCACTGAGTGGGGACCCAGCAGATGCAGCCTGGGGCCTGTGTGGCTCCTGAGGGCCAGCTGGGAGGCAGCTGGTGAGGACACAGTGCCATCTTGGACCAGGCTTTGGTCTGGGCTCAGGGCTACTGTAGGACAAACACAGACCCTGCCCTTGGTGCCCAGCTCCAGAAGAGGGGTTTGTTCTTCATTTACTTGGGGGAGATGCTCACCATCACCACGTCCTCCGACTCCCAGCAACCCCACAGAACAGAGCAGAACTGTCTCTTGCTTTCTTCGGGACTGTCATTTTAATGAAAACAGACTGCCTTCTCTTTCTCGCATTGGGCGGCTGGGAGGTTCAAACCACTGAATTTTCAGTCAGCAGCCAAATTATTTAACCCACTTTGCCACCAGGGGTCCTTATGGTGACATATATGTAACCAGTCATTTGCCGTTTGCACCATTTTTACATATATAACTCAGTGACATTTGTCACATGATCATGCTTGGAAAGGTGGAGGGTCCACCAGAGGGAGGAAGACCCTCCACAGGGTGGGCTGGCACAGTGGCTGCAGCAATGGGTTTGAGGACAGTGGAGGTTGTGAGAACAGGGCAGGCCAGGTTTTGCTCTGTTATCCACGGGGTCACTATGACCCAAAACTGACATCACTTAACAACAGCGTGGCACAGTGCATTAAGTGTTAGGCTGCGCAATCAAAGATCAGTGGTTCACACCCACCAGCCACCCAATGGGAGGAGAATGAAGCAGTCCGCCCTCATAAAGATTACACAAAGATAAGCCCATTTACAGTCCTCTGTCCAACAAGTGCACTGTGAGGTGGAATCAGTTCGACGGAAGGGGTTGAGTTGGTTGATACCCAAACTTGGTACCTTCAAGCAGTCCCTTCCCCTGGAATCACTGGAAGCTTTAGTGAAAAGGCCACACACAAGGTCCTCGAGGCTCCGCTTGTCACTGGGATGGCCCCCCCTCCACAATGGGTACCTGGATCCCCATTTGTGGTTAAGACATGGGCATCTGTCAGGTACCTGGGGTCACAGGCTTCTGCCTTCTGAGCAGAGCAGCAATTTGAACAGAACTGTGGCAGTCTGGGAGCCAGGTAGGACAGGCTTGGGGCTGTGTCCTGTGGCCGTGAGAAGGGCAGGCTGAGCCTGGGAGAGACTGAAATGGGTGAGGTGGGACTTGCAAGTAGATTTAGGAGAGGAGGGCGAGGGGACTTGAAAGACGTGGGGTAAGAGTGGGCGTGAGGGTTTGGAGGGGCCCTGGGACTGGGTGCCAGCCTAGGGAGGTAGTATGCCAGGCCTAGAGCAGACAGCCTTGAAGTGCGAGTCTGTGCCGTGAGAGCCAGCTACAGTTATCTACATGTGTAGGGCATCTGGACCTCCTGACCAGGGATTTGGGGCACAGGAAGGAAAGCTAAGGGGTTTAGGGAAAGAAGGGGCCACAGGGCCTGCAGGCAGAGGACGAGGTATCTGTAGGCAGAGCCAACCCTTTTGAGGCAGATGGAAGGCTGAGTGAGTCTAATAACCCTGTCCTTGGTGCCCCCTGGGTCCAGGATGTTGCAGTTCTTGGGCGGTGGTATCCTTGCTATCACCTGTCTCCCCATTAGGGAGCATGGACAGGCTCTGTCCTGGCTTGACATTGCCCTCCGCCCACTCATATGAGTCCTTGGCCAGAGGGTGGCACTGGCCTAGCCATTGTCTAGGTCAGGGCCATGGGTCTGGTCCTGATGGAGCCGGCTGGTTCTCTTTCAGAACAAAGTGTTGGATGTGGACGGCATGAAGGTGAAGCTTCAGGTGAGAAGTCATGGGGGTGGGGTGGCAAGAGGCAGCAAACAGGTGGAACTAACCACCGGGCCCTGCCTGCCCTGCAGATGTGGGACACAGCAGGTCAAGAGCGGTTCCGCAGTGTCACCCACGCCTATTACCGGGATGCACATGGTGAGCCAGCAACCCAGGGAGGCAGGCTGTGCCATGTAGGGGCCCCACTCCCCTGGCTCCCACTGGGAGCGGGTGAGAGGGCAGGAAGTGGGTGGTACTGGTGTGATGTTGCTGCTGCCACCCTGTGACTTAGGGTGTGAACTCGAGGGCGTGGGTGACGGGCACCCTTTGCCCTCAGCACTGCTGCTGCTTTATGATGTCACCAACAAGGCTTCCTTCGACAACATCCAGGTCAGCACCTCCTTCTTGGGAGAGGGTGGGCCCTGGTGCTCCCACCCTGGACCACACCAGGGAAGGGCTCAGGTGACACTTAATACGCCCCTTCCAATGGCCCAAATGCTGTGGTCCGTTGGGTAGAATAGGGCTGAGGTGGGCCCAGGTGACCGTCGAACCACCCAGGAGCCCTGGTGGCTCAATGATTGAAGTGCTCAGGGGCTAAATGAAAGGCCCACGGTGCGACTCCAGCTGCTCTGTGGAGAAGTCATCTCCACGTTCACAGCCCTGGAAACTCCATCAGGCAGTTCTGCTGTCCCACAGGGAGTGTCCTCTGTGGAGTCTCAGTGGTACTGAGATTAGGTTTGGGACCTGTCGCTGTAAACCATGATCCATGAGCTTGGCGGTTTTGATGTTAACAAAAGACCCACAGGCCCCCCCCCCTGGGAGCTTGGGGCTCCGAGGTCCCTGGTCCCCACAGGACTGGCTGAGTGAAATCCAGGAACATGCCCAGCACGACGTGGTGCTCATGCTGTTAGGGAATAAGGTGGGTCCCCGCCCTCTGCAGGGGGCAGGTGGGTGTGGGCAGCTGAGGGGCAGCTGTTATGGCCCCCATGCCCTGCCCAGGTGGACTCCACTCAGGAGCATGAGGTGAAGAGGGAGGACGGGGAGAAGCTGGCCAAGGTGAGTGGGGCGGGGTGGCTGGAGGTGGCCCTGTGGCTGTGGAGCCTGGGGAGAAGGCTATCCTGTCAGGCCCTGGCTGGCAGCAACTGTTTGCAGGAATATGGGCTACCATTCATGGAGACCAGCGCCAAGACGGGCCTCAACGTGGACTTGGCCTTCATGGCCATAGCAAAGTAAGTGTCATCCCAGGCCAGCACCCTCGTCGGGATCTCTGGGCTCCCTTGCTCAAAGCCTCCTGTCCTGCAGGGAACTGAAGCAGCGCTCCACAAAGACACCCAATGAACCCCGCTTCCGGCTGCATGACTATATCAAGAAGGAGGGGCGTGGAGGCTCCTGCTGCTGGCCCTGAGGTGGCCATCCTATGATCAGACTGGCTCTGGCCCCTTCCATGTCCCAATCCTTACTGACCAACCTGGCTTCGGGGGACCTGTGAGTGGCAGCCACTCCAAGACCAGGCTGCTCTGCTGCCCCCTGCTGGATGCCAGTCCAACCGCCTGGAAAAGCCATGTCTGGAGCCAGAAGTGCATCAAGGCCAATCCCACCCCATCTGTTAGATTGGGTTCCACATCCTACACCGGATTTTTCTGGAGACAAGTCCAAGTACAGGGAATGTAATGGGGGAATTCCAGGACTGCTTCCTCACACTGGGATTAGGAATCGTGTCACACCTTGTAGGCTTTTGTTTTCAGTACTAGTGAATAAAGTGGTGTTTTCTGGAGTATTTTAAAAACTTATAGGACCTTAGGTTCCAAATTCAGCCTAAGGGAGGAGGGCACCTCTCCAAAAGCGAGAGACCAGCTGGGAGGATCACATCATTTTCTGCGCCAAGCCTCAACAGCCAGCAGAATTCTATCTTTGGGGGGTTCATAATAAAAAACTGTAGAGATGGAAGGTTACCACCCTATGCCATCATGTCCCTTCGCCAACCTCATCTGCAGTGAGCCCTGGGAGTAGAGGGCTCATTACATACTTCTTGTGCCCCAAAAAAGGAGATGCTGTCTTTCCAGTACTTTAGACCCAAGGGAACAAATTGGCAAAAACTCTTATTGTTAATAATGATTTACATATCCTTATTACAATTTGTAAAAAGAGTAGTTTCCAGAGATTTGCCTGTCTGGGTAAGGCTACAAAATGAGGTGCACGTGCACTTACAGAGAGGTCTGGGGCGGTGGGCGTCACTCATGGGTGGTACACATGCCTTGTCTCTTTCTGTGTAGGGTCTAATTCTGCTTCTAGATGTGAGAAACACACACTCTGGAGGCTGCCTCAGCACCTCTTGGTAACTGGGGGTCAATCTACATCTACAGCCCTGACGAGGGCATTTTCTTGACTGATCTCCAGAGCGTTGGGGTAAACCATCGTAACTTGTAACTCGCCCTGTTAACCCTAATCCAATCTAAAACATAGTTCAGTGAGAGGGAGGCTTTTATTGGTTTTGCAAAATCAAAGGCCTAAACTTCAAAGGCCTTCTAATCCACCAGCTATTCCATGGGAAAATGGGCAATCTCCTGTGTGATTAACTGTCTCTGAAAACCTGCTGCAGGGTCAAGCAGTCCCAACAGAGGAGCAGAGTCACAGCTTGACACAAGAGTATCCCCCACCTGAACAGCATATATACTTTTTAGGTGCAGAGGTTCTGTGGTATGTCATGTCAGCAGTCAGGATTGCTGCTATTATACAAGGTGAGGATAGAGGCTGCCTTCTTCCATTTCCCAAACCATCCCACCAATCAGTGAAAGGGTTGCTGGCATGGTCTGCTCCTTCATTAGTCCTTATGGAGGGCTTCTCTTGTGGTTCCATCAGGGGCTGTGTGGTGAGGAATGAAGGTGCAAACACCTGCCTCCTATCATATAGGCATCCCTTCTCTGCCAGCATCATGTCTAACACTATTCTGTCTTCCCATCTGGCTAGTAGTCCCTAACCACTCCTAAAATATCCATGGTATAGTTTATGAATCTTTGCTAGTTGCAGTGAATGTAGTTGATCCTATCTACATTTTTATGGTGGACCACTTTTGAAAAAGTTTAAACACCTTAAGATTTTTTTAGTGTACCTTCAAAACCTATAGCTTTCTAATTACTAACCTTAAACTACTTAGGAATCTCTCAATGGACTCTAGTTGTTGTCATTGTTAGGTGCCATCGAGTCGAGTATGACTCATAGCGACCCTACGAACAAAAGATTTGAACCCTAAAAAAAAAATCTGAACCCTGTTCTATTCTGTGCCATCTTCACACTTCCTGACACACAAGAGCCCATTGCAGCAGTCACTGTATCAATCCACCTGGTTGAGGGTCTTCAAGTAGTCAATATAAATCTGTGAATCTAAAGATCCAAGGACAGATCTCTAGGCCTGGGATTTCTTAAGCTCTGCATCTTTCCAGAATGCTAGGGTAAAGCAAATTGTCATCTGGAACAAAGGAAACGTCCCAGTCCAATTGTATGGCTGTAAATCTTGGTGATTTCTTTTTATATTACCACCAGACACCTGTCTGCTGAGTGGTTGCCACTGCTAGGCTTAATGGTAACACTTCAACCATAGGTGCAAGTTGTTAATCCTCTTAACAGGGACTGTGAACTTTTTTCCCTACCATGCAAGGCAAGAAGAGTGGTTCATCTGCCCTATGGGGAACAAGGGAACCGCCTCCAGGTCTGACGTTGACAATGCAGTGAAGAACATTGACAAGCTTCTACAACTGCTTTCCCCAAGCATCCTTGTCCTAGTCCAGAGCCACCATGTGGTGCGTTCCTATTGGATGTGAATACTGACAGGATTAGCTGCACAAACATTTGGCAATCACTTGCACGGAATATTTCATCTGTTTCATCCAAGTGGTAACATTTCTCTAGCTTCATTTTACCTCAATTATTTCTACTCTCTTGGGATCACTCCTGAAGGATTCTTCCACAGAAGTATACAAGTGGATTGGAATCAGGAGGGTGAAGAACTGGACCATAAACTGCCCTACCTGTTCCCTTTCAGAGACTTTTATACCCATCCCCTAGACTGCTACCTACCACTGGCTCTCTCTTGGGGGTGAGGAGGACATTGAGGGCGATATGGACTGGATTGCACTGGAGACTTTGACAGTTATTGGGAGAGGATCCCTTAGAAAAGTGTATGTTTTCTTTTCATTCTTTTTAAGAGTTGAAAGATGAGGGAATGTATGTCCACCCCTCAGACTTCTCCATCCACCAAACATTGCCCCAGGGCAATCACAGGATGCAGATTTCCTTCTGTTCTAGCTATCAGGGACTTCTTCAGGACGTAAGCATTTATCTGAGCTTGCAAGCTGTCTCTGCTAGCTCAAGTCTCCACACAAGATTTGACAAGCAAGGGGGATGTAGTCTTAGTAACATTAACCAACAATGTGATTTGGAGAAGGCATCCTATCCCATTGCTCCGAGAATTGATCTAGCTAAGCCAGGTTAATTCCTTAATCCAGCCCATATAGCAGAACTGTAAGGAGGTAGTTTCTCAGACTCTTTTTAGAGTTACTTTGAAAATCTCTGTAGGTGAAGAATATGCTTCATACTGATTACCACTTTTCTCTTGGAGCATTCTTCTCAACCGGACCCTTCACTCGGGTATAGCAAGTCCACCCTTCTCCGCAGTCTGGACAGCCATCTCAGTAGTTAAGAGCACCTGGTAAGGACCAGCCCAATGGATGAATTCAAGGGGAAGGGTTTGAGCCAGGAGTCCTTTTAACCTGAGGGTTGATAAATCCTTTAGAATCTGATCCTTAGTTTCCATGATGGGCAGGTCTGTGGTCTTGCCCATGTAGGGGAGTCTATACAAAGTTCCTAAAGGGATGATCCTAGAGTCTTCCTTGGGATGTTTCTGACTCAACTCAGAGGAGGGCTAAGGGGAGGCGCTTGGTCCATAATTTGGTTTCTAAGAGCAGTTTCTCAATTGGCAGCACCATGATAGATGGAGAAGAAATTGAGGTTAACAATTACAGCTTGCTTGGCTCCACAATCAACAAACCAGCAGTCAGAAAATCAAAAGACGAAGTGCATTGGGAAATTCTGCTGTCAGGGACCTCTTCAGAGTGCTGAAAAGCAATGATGTCAGTCTAGAGACTAAAGTGCACCTAATCCAGTCCATGGTCTTCACATTAATTGTTATGCTTTAGAGAGCTGGACTATGACTAAGGATGACAGAAGAATCAATGCCTTCAAATTGTGGTGCTGGAAAAGAGTCTTGAACTGCCAAAAAAACAAATAGGTTTGTCATGGAGACAGTTAAACCAAGTTTCTCCTTGGAGGCTAGGATTCTGAAGCTCTGTCTCATACTTTGGGCTCGTGGCCAGGAGAGATGGATCTTTGGAGAAGGACATCATGCTCAGAAGGGTAGAAGGACAGCACAGGAGAGGAAGACCCTGGATGAGATGGATTGATACAGTAACTGGGGCAATGGAGGTTGCTGTGTCAGAATTAGTGGGACTGGCTCAGGACAGGGCAGGGTTCAGAGCTGCTGTACATAGGGTCACTGGCAACTTGATGGCAACACAACAAGAGCAGTTTTATGATCTGCTGTGTAATATTCTGTGTAATCAGAGTCTGATTTATTCTTTCTATCCTTCATAAGGAAGGAGGGTACTAAAGAGTATGATAATCCCAGTTGATATCTAAACATTCCATCACTCCTTTCAGTACCCTAGAAGTAAAGTGACTTCTATTGTCTAAGTCAATGTTCTCTACCAGACTATCCTAGGTATAACTTGCTTGGTCATAGTGTAGCTTCAAGAAGCTTTAGAGCTCACAAGTTTTTGCTTACCAATTATTAGGTGCTCCCCTTCTCATGAAGTGATTGACTGTCCCCATCTACTATTGCATAACCATTATGTCTCTTTCCTCTGATCACCCAAGAAGACCCATTCACAAATAGCCTGTCCCCTTCATCAGAGGAACCTCCCTGAATTTTTGTCTAATGTCCAGACAGCTATGCTTAGGTTCTTCTGACCCTCCCTCCTCTTTCTATAGAAAACTAGCAGGCTTTAAGTAAGCCTAAGTGGTTATGTCAGCTAATAGTTTCTATCTCCTTTGGGTCAACCTGTGCCTTTTTACCCTAACCCGAATTCTTTTCACTCTGGATATAGACCAATCTAAAATCTTTTTCTTACATAGTTGCACTTCATACAGCCATAGAATATCAAGCCATGCAAGCTTAAGGAGAGCTTAAGCAAGCTCTGCTTATACAGCAACCTGGGGAGAATCTCCATTTTGTAGTTTTCAGACACCCTCCCTGAGATCTAGACTGGTTACTCTAAGATAGCAAGTGAGCCAAGATGAGAGAAACAAATAAAAATGGTCCTATGTAACGAACAGACCTTTAATGGTCTGAGA